TTGTGCCCCAGTCCGGGAAGATCCCACATGCCGCGGAGCGGCTAGGCTTCTGAGCCATGGCCGCTGAGCCTGTGCTCCGCAGCGGGAGAGGCCAGAACAGTGAGAGGCCCGCGTACCGCAAAAAAAAAAAAAAAAAAAAAAAGATTACCAAATGTAAAATAGATAGCTAGTGGGAAGCAGCCACACAGCACTGAGAGATCAGCTCGGTGCTTTGTGTCCACCTAGAGGAGTGGGAGGGAGACCCAAGAGGGAGGGGATATGGGGATACATGTATATGTATAGCTGATTCCCTCTGTTATACAGCAGAAACTAACATACCATTGTAAAGCAATTATACTCTAATAAAGATGTTAAAAAAAAAGATTAAATTTAGTAAGCAAAGTCATATGCTCTGACATAATTATTCAGATTGAAACACATCATCCTTTAGTAGTTCTAATTCTTCCAAACCCATTCATTTAAAAGGTATAGCCAGAAAACTGATGCCAAGAAAAAAATACCTATTTCACTTCAATTACTTATGTTGGTATTTCTCTATGGATGAGGCACTGATGAGGGCCTCTCCATTCATTACTGATGCTTTACCTTACCTCTAATCAATGAAGTTACAGATTACAGGCGCTTTTAAATGAAACTACAGACCAGGAAAGGTATCACTATGGTTGCGTTATTTAAACTCTGAAATATACAGTGAAGTCATAAAGGGCAGTAAGGCAAGCAATGCATGCCCCCCCAGGGGCGGCAGCTTTCAAAGAGAATGACAATCTGATTACAACATAAAAATCTTAACCAAAAAAGATACACGTAGGCACATGCCTATCTTTAGAGCCTATTTACCAAGATATCTGATCGTTATTACTACTGTAACAGAGACAGTGTAAGTAGCAAGAGAATATTACTGGAAAAGTAATACTACTTCTCCTGCTGTGAGAAATCTTAATTTCAAAACCTCATATTTAAAAAAAAAAAAAAAATTCTTGGTAAAACCTGAGTGATAGAGTTAGGTATACGGGTCAGGTTTTCCTATTTACCTCTAAGGATTCCTTCAAGTCTACAGCAGAAACTGCGTCTTCCTCTTCATCATCAGTCAACTGGTCCTGGGAACAGTAGTGCGTGCTGTAAGCAGAATGCTCTTCTATTGCTTCCAGCCAGTCCTGAAATAATACAAGGACTTAAATCAAAGTAAAACACATTTTGACTCAAAACAGATATTATTACAACAATCTGGGAAGAATAAAATGAACATGGAGAAAAAAAAATATTACGGCCTCAAAAAAACGAAACAAAAAATTCCCAACAACAAAATAATGATGCAGGTCTCTTGTCCATGACACATCTGGATAAAAAATTTTCCCAATACTTTAAAAAAATACCATCTATAAGTTTACATAGTCATTCATATTAATACTGAAACACATTATAAAAACTAAACAATGGGTGGAGAATCTTGCACTTAGAATTATAAGTTCTCAACACTGTTGAATAAGTTACTATATAAGATGCATCCAGAAACAATTTACCAACTTGCCATAAGCACAAGACACTCAGACCATTTTAAGAGAGCCAACAATTACTCTGATGCTTTAACTTTAACTATGTTTTTAAAAAATTAGTGGGACTTCCCTGGTGGTCCAGTGGGTAAGACTCCCCACTCCCAATGCAGGGGGCACGGGTTGGATCCTGGGTCAGGGAACTAGATCCCGCATGCATGCTGCAACTAAGAAGTCTGTGTGCCACAACTAAGAAGTCTGCATGCCGCATCTAAAGATCCCGCATGCCACAAAGAAGACCCGGTGCAGCCAAAATAAATAGATAAATAAATAATAAATATCTTAAAAAATTAGTGATTTCACAAAAAGATGGAATGTTTGCCCTAAAAATATCTATCTTACTTCTACCTCATTTCTTGCAGCATTTTTCAGGGTCAATTCTTACCCTTTTATGAAATTTTGGGACAGTCACGTTTTGTATTGTTTAGGGTTCTCTGCAAGGCCAAAGTTAACCGCTCTGGAAAATAGATCCTTTTAACCCCTTACATAATTTATAAAAAACAAGATAAGTCTACGAATATTGCTTTGATCTAAAGGGATATGGAGTCTCCATTAAATAACTACACAATGAATTTCCGTCACATCAATCCCAATTTCTTGCTTGCTGCTATTGTTCAGTTTACCACAAAGAAAGGCTGAGTCTACACTGTAATAAATCAGAACACCTGGGCTGGAGCCAGGTTCTGTTACTTGCAAGCTGCATGAGCTTGAGAGGTCACTTCAATCTTAGTCTTCAGTTTTCCTCACCTATAAATTCAGGGGTAGACTAAATAATCATTTAGGCTTTTTTCCAAAACTAATAAGGGCCTCTTACATTCACAGAAGCAAAATTTTTAAAAAAAGAAGAAGAAGAACAGAAAATACCTGCAGGTACATGCTGATAAGGAATTAATTCCTAAGCCAAATTTCAAAAGTTTCATATAATCACTCCCGTTAAAAAGGTACAATCAACAAGATGTTAGATGTTAATATTGAGCCTACCTTACATTCTTCATGTTCTTAAATGTTAAGTTTTATGAAAGATAAACGAAACCATAAAATTACCTCTCTTGTCTGCTGAAGGCTATTCTTAGGAACCCTGAAGCCATGAACAGTGTCATCGAAGCATTTAATAAAGAAGAGGCAGCTATCAGTGGGTTTTACCTTGGATATAAAGAAGTCAGTAAGACAACATCATTCATGCCCATAAAACAAAACCCTAAAATTATCTATACATAAAATTAACAATATTAGCGTGATAATACCCGAGTGAACATTTAAAATACTGAGAAAAATTGATACATTGGGAGTATCAAATGCACTGTAGCTTATCTACATCAAATCTGGCTTTCATATTCTTAATCACAGTAAATACTAATATATAGTCCACTAGGTATGTAGTTTTCCTTTTATCCTATTAAATATAACACTTGGGCTTGGGCTATAAAGTCCTTTAAACACAAGAACTCCAATTTCTTATTCACGCCACTCTCCTGAAACTTTTGTTTGAGCTGAGTACAGAAAATGTTTGAACTGAGTGTAAAAGCATGAGGAGTAGAAAAGGAAGAGCTGGAGTGTGAACAAGAGCTGGCCGACTCGATGGGAGAGCAAGTTGCCTTGGAGGAAAGGAAACGAGGAGCTTTGCGAGCAAGCTCCCACCCCCAAGATTGTTCACCTGGAACTAGTACAGTCCCCGAGGGTGACACGACAGCAGCAAGAGCAAACCTGGACAACAGTCTGTCTTTGGAAATTAAAAAAGCAGAGCTGGGCAGCCATAAATCCTAAAGAGAGTAGGGGAGTCACCCAATGGAAAGAGACAGAGATGGGAATCCCAAACTCTGTCTTTTCACATCTCTTACTGATGCACAAAATAGATTCCAAGCAGTCACTGAAATACAGACCAGAGCTGCCATCCAAGAAACAGAGTTTACAGCACAAACCCAGCCAAGAAAATGACCTAAAACAACGGAAATCACATTTAATGGAGAAAAATAAAGAATCCAGGGTCTCCAGAACTTAACGTTAAGGATACAATCCAAAATTACTTGACATATGAAGTAAAAAAGTGGACCACATTCTCAAAAGAAATCTAATTAAAAGGCAAAAAATGTCAGAATGGTTAATAGGAACCCAAATATATACTATCTACAAGAGACAGAAGATAAATATAAAGATACAGCTAGGTTGAAAGTAACTAGATAGAAAAAGAGATACTATGCAAACAGTAACCATAAGAAAGCCTGAGTGGTTATATTAATATCAAGCAAAATAGATTTCAAAACAAAATGCATTATTACAGGAGATAAAGAGGACCACCACATAATGCTAAAAGGGTTAATTAATCAGGAAGACAACAATCATAAATATGTATGTGATCAGTAACAGAGTGAGAAATACATAATTCTACAAGTATAGTTGGAGATTTAAACACCCTTCTCTCAGCAATTGATACAATTAGAAAAAAAAAAAGGCAGCAAAGACACAGAAGATCTGAACAACACTATCAACCATCATGACTGAATGTTTATAGGACATGACCCCCAACAATAGCAAAATACACATTATTTTCCAGTGCATTCTCTAGGATAATCCATATGTAGTCATCAAGCAAGTCTCAATAAATTTGACAAGACGGAAATCATATCGAAAATGTTCAATGACCAAAATGGAATTACATTATAAATCAAAAGCACAGTAATTAGGAAAACCCCAATTATTTGGAAATTTAACAACACACTTCTAAACATTCACTGGTTCAAAGAAGAAATCATAATAGGAATTAGAAAATATTTTGAACTGGATGATAATTTGAATAATCTAAGCTTCAACCTTAAGAAACTATAAAAGAGCAAAGCAAGCCCAACACATGGAGAAATTATTTTAAATGAATTAAAAAATCAATGAAATAGCAAAAACAAGATAAATATTTCAATGAAATCAAGAACTGGTTCTTCGAAAGGATCAATAAAACTGATAAAGTGCTAGACAGACTGATCTAGAAAAAAAAGGAAAACACAAATTACCAATATAAAAAGTAAAAGACCATATAACACTACCTACCACACAGACATTAAAAACACAATACGGGAATATTACTAACCCTAAGTTTTATAACCCAGAAGAAAATGGACAACTTTCTTGAAAGGCAAAAATTACAAACACCAACCGAAAAAGAAACAGAAAATGTGAATAGCCCTATAGCAACGGAAGAAATTAAATTTGTAACTACAATCCTCCCCCACCCCCGCACTAAAAACCTCCTGGCCCATGTGACTTCACAGGTGAATTCTATCAAGCATGTAAGGCAGCAGTAACCTAATCCTATACAAACTCTCCTAGAAAACTGAAAAGGAACATTTTCCAATTCATTATATGAAACCAGACAAAATATCAAAGAAGAAATATAAACCAATATCCAGCATGAACAAAAAAGCAAAAATTCTTAACAAAATATTAACGAACAATATATTAAAATGGTAATTTATCATAACCAACTGGGATTTGTCCCAGCAATAAGATTGACTTTAACACCCTAAAGTCTATCAATACAACTAATCATATTAATAGAATGAGTAAAACCATATGATCATTTCAGTAACATGGAAAATAACATTTAATAAAATTCAACAGATTTTCATAATAAGGAATCTCAGTAAACTAGGAAAGGAAAAGAACTTACTCAACCAGATTAAGGGCTTCTTATGTTCAAGCCCTAATCCCCAATGAAACTACATTTGGAGATAGGGCTTTTATAAGAGGTAATTAAGGTAAAATGAGATCATATCAGTGGAACTCTAATCCAGTATGGCTGCTGTCCTTACAAGGAGAGGAAGAGAAAGCAGGGATGCCTGCACACAGACAAAAAGTCATGTGAGGACAAAGCAAGGAGGCTGCCACCTGCAAGCCAAGGAGAAAGGCCTCAGGAGAAACCGATGCCTCAGTGTCAGAGCTAAAACTATAAAACTCTTGTAAGAAAACTTGGGAAGAAAGCTTCATGGCATTGGACTTGGCAGTGGTTTCCTGGATGTGATACAACAGCGCAAGTGACAAAAGAAAAAACATAAACTGGACTATATAAAAAATAAAAACTTCTATGCATCAATGGACATTATCAGCAGAGTGAAAAGACAACCCATGAAACTGCAGACAATATGTACAAATCACATTATCTGATAAGGGATTAATATCCAGCATATACAAAGAACTCCTACAACTCAACACCAACAAGAAAAAAAAAAACTGATTAAAAAATGGGCAAGAGATTTAAACAGCCATTTCTCCAAAAACAACATACAAATGGTCAATAAGTACATGAAAATGGTCAACATCACCAGTTATCAGGGAAACGGAAATCAAACCACAATTAGATACTACCTCATACCTATTACAATGGCAAACAAACAAACAAAACCCACAGGAAAAAAAAGTGTTGTGGTGAGGATGTGGAGAAATTGGAGCACTACTGGTATGAATGTAAACTGGCGCAGATGTTATGGAAAACAGTATGGAAGTTCCTTAAAAAATTAAAAATAGAACTACCATATGACCACCAATTCCACGTCTCGGTATATATATCCAGAAGAAATGAAAGCAGGATCTTGGTGAGACATTTTCACTCCCATGTTTACAGCAGCATTATTGACAGTGACCGGAAGGTGGAAGCAACTCAAAACATCCACTGATAGAGGAATGGATAAAGAAAATGTGGTCTATGCATAACAATGGAATATTATTCAGCCTTAAAAAAAGAAATCCTGTCACATGTTATAACATGGATGAACCTTGAGGACATTATGCTAAGTGAAATAAGCCAGACAAATACTGTACAATTCCACTCATGTGAGGTATCTAAAGTAGTCAAAAGCATAGAAACAGAAAGTAGAATGGTGGTTGCCAGTGGGGTGAGGTACTGGAAATAGAGAGGCGCTATTCAATGAGTATCGAGTTTCAGTTCTGCAAGATGAAAAAGTTCTAGAGACCTACTGTACAACAAAGTGAACAGAGTTAACGCTACTGAACTTAAAAATGGTTAAGATGGTAAGTTTTACGTTATGTGTATTTTACCACAATTAAACAAAACTTATAGGTGCAAACACCTATATTAGAAAAGAAAAAAAGTCTCAAATCAATAACCTAAGCTTCTACCTTAAGAATCTAGAAAGTGAACAGAGCCTGCCTCATAGGAGTCACTGAATGCCTGTTACCTTGTATCAATATGGATTCATAAATGTAGCCTCTAAGTAGACACTTATACAAGAAGCAAAAGTTATAAAACAAGGTGAAGCATAACACAGCAGAAGCTATCAATTCTAAAGAAGTTAAAAATCGGGAAATTTTAAAAGGGTGAGGGAGCAACTTGTTTAATTTTTTGTTTTAAGATAGACAAACCTTAGTGTTAAATAAATGAATCAAAAGCTGGAACAGAAGAGAATGGCCGGGACTGCACCAACAGAAGAAACGAGAAGATTAGACGGCTAAGACTAGAGAGTGGTTCCCTGGCCCTCTGGTCTCATGCGAAGGGAGGAAGGGGAGTGAGGACACTAAGGGACCAGCATGTGTAAGGAGGCCTGAGGGCAGGGGCAGGTGACTGAGCCTGTGACGGCCCAAGGGCGACGCTGCTGGTCCTCCGGGAGTTCACACGGAAAGGCAGGGGCTGTGGTCCAAAGAGAGGGTGCACTGCCGTGGCATGTTGACAACCCTAAAGAACTTGAAGCAGCAAGCAGAAAAGTACGTCTAGGCTCCAGTCTTAGGCTAATCTCAAAGGAGGAAAAATTCTTTCTCCTGGCTGGTAAAAGCAAAGCAGCCAGAAGTGAACATGGAGAACCTAAAAATCCCAATTTTGATATAGGCTTTAAATTTTACCACCAGAAAAATTTCCATTTTCCAGATTTACCCATGTACAAATACACGCACACCTACACATATATATGTAGATACGTATATGCATACATTATGTGTGAATATATACACATACATACATATATACATACACATACAAAATGGTAAAAGTTCTGTATAAATGTTTTTGGAACATGCATCTCTTATTCCACAATATGTAGAGATTTTTTTTAACTTGATTATATTTTTTAAATGGAATTCCACAACTTTACTTGTTCTCAAATAAAAACATATACAGTCATCCCTCGGTATCTGTGGGGGAATTGGTTCCAGGACACCTGAAGGATACCAAAATCCATGGAAGCACGAAGTCCTTATATAAAATGGCATAGTATTTGCATACAATCTATGCACATCCTCCTGCTTACTTTAAATCATCTCTAGATTACTTATAATATCTAATACAATGTAAATGCTATGTAAATAGTTGCTGGTGCACGGCAAATTCAAATTTTACTTTTTGGAACTTTCTGGAATTCCTTTTCCTATATAGTTTTGATCCACAGTTGGTTGAATTAGCAGATGCAGAACTCGCAGATACGGAGGGCCAACTCAACTGCACAAGTGCTTTCTACCCTAAGATTTTACAAGGCAGCTTATACCAATGATTTAGGGCAATCACTTGCAGGACTGATTTCACAGTTTAAGCAAAAGATGCATGTGTCATCCTACCGTGCATACTGCTTGAGTTAGATGTTTGCATCCCTGGCGATAAATATTATGGACTGCATCGGGCCTTCAAAATAAATATAAATTATCAAGGCAAAAGGAAAAGAGATTAGTGAAAACTTTTAATCATTCAAAATTTAGATGCTGAAATTCAACAAGTATTAGGATCATAATACTTACTGTTTCCTATACCATGAAAGGACTCCATGTTCTAACACTACCCAGAATAATCTCCAGCCAAAAAATCTTGAACTCTAAGGGGAAAACAACAAAGATTTTTCCAAGTTGATACATCTAGATTCAAATACTTGACTGATAAAAAGTAATTAAGTTATGACAGTTCTATCTGAGCCTTTCAGCCGGACAGTACCACTGCACACTCAAAAATGAACAAACATGAACCGAGGAACTGGGTGCAGAAATGAAAACATACTACTACAGGGTGACAGGAACAGAAGAAATGCCATATTGGTAAGATCAACGATGAACACAGTTTATAAGTTCTGACAATACTGCGCAAGGATATTTACAGGAAATATATCAGTTGTGAGCTTCAGAGACAGTTTCCTCAAAGGCCTGAGTTTCTAAATAAAGAGAATTATCCTAAATTTTATACAATATAAGCATACATGTACATAAATATATAGAAGGAGCAGCTGCAAATGCAGAAGAAACTATATGCTCCAAAATAGTTAATTCTAGAAAATAGCTGAACTCCAAAAAGCAAATAAATTTTCAGAACCAGAAAGGTTTTATATGTGTGCTCTGTGACAATTCAAATATTAAATTCCTCCTGAGTCCTCCATGGATCAATGTTCATAACAAAGATGATACGGTAACTCTATGCTTAAGTAAGAAAAAAAAAATTCCTCCACTCTTCTCTGTACAAACTTGGTCACCTACAAGTGTTAGACCAACAGTTAACTGCTACAATTGCTGGATGCCTAATAAAGTCCAGCAGTATAAAAATGGCTTACATGATAAGATCGAATAATTATTAAATCACATATACTTCAGAAAAGAATGAAAAAGAGTTTTAACAAGAGAGCACCTGAGAATCTTTTTTTTCCAGTTTTATAATTAAAAAACCATCCCAACCTACCTTCCAGAGAGGGCCTTCGTATCGTTTCAATGCTTTGTAGATGACCTATCGGAAGAACATGTTTTCATTAAAAACGCATCTATGTATTTCAAGAATTCAAAATTTTTTTCTACATTATATAAATGTAATCCATTACCACATACATACCTTATTACCAACAAGAACGTGTTTCATTTCAGCACCCTGGGCAAGATCAAGAGGTTTCTGATCTGTGCAAAATACAAGGAAAAAAGCCATCAAGAGCTTAATTCTACACTAAAATTGATGCTTGTATTGTAGCACATAATATTCTTTCATTATTCCATCAACTACACCCCAAATCACCGACCTGAAGCTGCCATCTCAATTCTTTACAGCATCCTTTTCAGTAACTATTAAGCCAGCAAATCAAACTAAACTTTGAACACTCTGTACAGGTTTTGTGATCTTTCAAGCTTTCGTGCCTTAAGCCACTGTATCAGTTTCCTATGGCTGTTGTAACAAATTACAACATACTTACTGGTTTAAAACAATACAAATTATTCTCTTACAGTTCGGGAGGTCAGAAATCTACAGTCAGTTTCACTGGGCTAATAACCAAGGTGTTGGCAGGGCTGCCTTCCTCTGGAGGCTCTTGAGGAGAACCTGTTCCCTTGCCTTTTCCAGAGGTCCCCTACATCCCCTTGATTCGTGGTCCCTCCCTCCATCTTCAAAGTGCATCATTCCAACCTCTGCTTCCATGCCCACATTTTTCTCCCTCAATATTCTGATCCTCCTGCCTCCTCCCCCAAAAGGAAGGACCCTTGTGATTACACTGGGCCCACCTAGAGAATTCAAGATTATCTCGGTATCTCAAGATACTTAACTAATCACATCACTGGGGGAGTATTATTCAGCCACCACAGCTGCTCTTCAACTACCTCACTGGAGAACAGGTAGCAGAGACAACTCACAGAGTAACGTGTGATGGTCCACAATTGAGGACAAAGGAAAAGCGGTAACTGAGGATGAACCCAGCAAGGTGTCACGGTAACTTTCTCAAGCCTACGCATGCAAGCACTCTACGTTTTTCCAAACAACAAAAATGCAATTTGTTTGTAAGTTATTTACCGAAGTGACTTCTGAAGTGAGCAGGACACTATATGAAGGATGCAAACTAAAAGAATAATCGTCTCATAACCTCAAAGAGCTTCTAATTACTAGAGAAACAAAAGCTACACATACAAATTTGAAACAAAAAACCCAGCCCTTTCATGATAACATATCAGACTGGCACTCTGGAACTCTATTTATGCAGTAAGGTGATAACATTCTATCAAATAACCTTTTTATAAATACCTGGTAAGTGTTGGACAATTTCTTGTAAAACTATCTCCTAATGAGAGTCTATTATGTGCCAATTAATATTTTAGGTACTGGGGATTCAGTAGTGAACATGACTCAAAAAATTAGGTGGGGGGAGGTGTAGAAAAAGGGAAAGACACAACTTAATAAAAAAAGGATACAGCAAATAAACCATGGTATGCCAACATTTTTAAGGGAATGTTCTGAGAGAATGACTGGAATACCACTTTAGATTGGAGACTGGGGGACTGATCGAGGAAAGCCTCTCTCTGAGGGAGGGATGTTTAAGCTGAAAGGAAGGATCCAGCCTTGTGAGAATACAGGGGAAGGGCACTGCAAGCAGAGGGAACAGCTGATGCAAAGGCCCTGAGATAGCAACAATTAGGTAGGCAAGAGAGAAAGGCAAAGGAAGAAAGAAGGCACATCATACAAGGCCTCTGTGGGTCAGACCTTTGTGAACCAGTACAAGGAGTTTGGGTTTTATTCTAAATACGACGGAAAGCCACTGAAAGGTTTTAGGTTAAAGAGTAGCCTGACCTGACTTATGTTTCAAACTCTGTCGAAGTGTTAAAAGAACTTAATCAGAACATCTGGGGAAATGTGAACTTTGGCTGTTTGACGATTTTGAGAAATTATAAAATTATTAATAGGATAATGCCATTGTGGCTATTTCTTTCTTTTTTTTTTTTTTTTTCGGTACGCGGGCCCTTCCCTTCTTTGGCCTTTCCCGTTTGGGGGCCCAGGCTCCGGACGCGCAGGCTCAGCGGCCATGGCTCACGGGCCCAGCCGCTCCGCGGCATGTGGGATCTTCCCGGACCGGGGCACGAACCCGTGTCCCCTGCATCGGCAGGCGGACTCTCAACCACTGCGCCACCAGGGAAGCCCGTGGCTATTTCTTTAAATAGCTCTACTGAGAGAGAATTCACACACCACACAATTTACTCATGTAAAGTGTACAATTCAGTGGTTTTTGGAATATTCACAGAGTTGTGCAACTATCACATGGTTATGGTGTTTTTCTTAAAAGGAGAACTTATACAAATGTACTTAAAGATTTATAGCCAAAATAAGATGACATAGGGGGAGTGGCCATTACTGACAATTCCTGAAAGAGGGTGAGGAGTACATCAATTATACTATTCTATTTAGTAAGCTTTGATAATTTTAGTAATAAAAAGTAAAAAAAAAAAAAGATCACTGCAGCTACTGTATGGAAAAACCCTGTAAATGTGGGCAAGAGAAAAGAAGGGATACAAGTTACAAAGCAATAGCAAAGGTCCAGGTGAAAGATACTGGTGATATACAAACAGCACATGCAGCTCAATATCAAAAAACAAACAACCCAATCAAAAAATGGGAAGAACACCTAAACAGACATTTCTCCAAAGAAGACATACAGATGGCTAAGAGGCACATGAAAAGATGCTCAACATCACTAATTACTAGAGAAATACAAATCAAAACTACAATGAGGTATTATCTCACACCAGTCAGAGTAGCCATCACCAAATAATCTACAAACAATAAATGCTGGAGAGGGTGTGGAGAAAAGGAAACCCTCCTACACTGTTGGTGGGAATGTAAATTGGTAGAGCCACTATGGAGAACAGTATGGAGGTTCCTTAAAAAACTAAAAAGAAGGCTTCCCTGGTGGCACAGTGGTTGAGAGTCCGCCTGCCGATGCAGGGGACATGGGTTCATGCCCCGGTCCGGGAAGATCCCACATGCCGTGGAGCGGCTGGGCCCGTGAGCCATGGCTGCTGAGCCTGCGTGTCCAGAGCCTGTGCTCTGCAACGGAAGAGGCCACAACAGTGAGAGGCCCGCGTACCACAAAAAAAAAAAAAAAAAAACCAACTAAAAAGACTACCATAATTGTTTTCTAAAAAAACTAAAAGAGCTACCATATGATCCAGCAATCCCACTCGGGCATATATCCAGAGAAAACCATAATTCGAAAGGATACATGTACCACAATGTTCACTGCAGCACTATTTACAATAGCCAAGATGTGGAAGCAACCTAAATGTCCACCGACAGAGGAATGGGAAAAGAAGATGTGGTACGTATATACAATGGAATATTACTCAGCCATAAAAAAGAATGAAATAATGCCATCTGCAGTGACATGGATGGACCTGGAGATTGTCATCCTGAGTGAAGTAAGTCCAAGAAAGACAAATATCATATGATATCGCTTATATGTGGAATCTAAAAAAATAATGCAAATGAACTTATTTACAAAACAGAAATAGAGTCACAGATGTAGAAAACAAACTTATGGTTACCAAGAGGGAAAGGGAGGGGGTGTATAAATTGGGAGATTGGGATTAATATACACACAGTTCTATATAAAATATAGAAAACTAATAGGGACCTACTGTATAGCACAGGGAACTCTACTCGATACTCTGTAATGACCTATATGGGGAAAGAATCTAAAGAGTGGATATATGTACAACTGATTCACTTTGCTGTACACCTGAAACTAAAACATTGTAAATCAACTATACTCCAATAAAAATTAATTTAAAAAAACAAGAAAGATACTGGTGGCTTGAACTAGAGAGTTAGCAGTAAAATGGAGACACTAGTAACTATGTGGCTTTGAGATTGACTTTAGAGGTAGATTTATCAGATTGCTACAGGTAAAACTTGAACTGGTCATATATTACTCTTTCAGTGGGGAAAAAACTTTTTAAAATGTTAACTGAGCAACTGATAATCACTTTAGGTTTTCTAGCTAGCCAACAGGAGGATGTCTTATGAAAAGGTCTGCCAACTTGTTATTTCTACTCTATCTGCAGGGCACTTTTAGGCAGAAAGGAGAAAGACAATGTGATTTCTTTCACAGAATTCTGTCCTAACACCAAAAATAAATTCTGAACTCCTGCCAACTAGCTGAAGTCCTACACAGAGCCCTCACTGCTGGATTCAATGCCCACAGTGCCTGGCACACAGTGAGAATTTAATAAAGTGCTTTTAGAACTGAATGAAATAGCCCCCTTACCGGGATAGGCAACATAACCAGTTGTTTCAAAATCGCACTACATCTCTTATCAACCACAACAAAATAAAGTAAAAAACGGGAAGGATCCTATATTTAAATTTTTGCCTGATACAGATTTGTCCCTTAATGGGAAAATGAAATCTAAATGTCAACACTCCTCAAATAATTTACGTAGAACACAATCTCAATTAGATGTCAACAGCATTTTTACTAAGAACCTAAGAAAATTATTTTAAATAATAATTATTTTAAATGCCATTTGGAAAAACAAATAGTCAAGGAAAATACTCAAAAAAGAATAGTAAGGGGAAACACCATCAGCTATTAAAGTCTTACAAAAACAACCATTAAAAGTGCACCGCTTCTTTTTATGGCTGAGTAATATTCCATTGTATATATGTGCCACATCTTCTTTATCCATTCATCTGCTGATGGACACTTAGCTAGTGGGAAGCAGCCACATAGCACAGGGAGATCAGCTCGGTGCTTTGTGCACCTAGAGGGGTGGGATAGGGAAGGTGGGAGGGAGGGAGACGCAAGAGGGAAGAGATATGGGAACATATACATATGTTCCCATAT